CGGCTATCATTTTCTTGTCTAGTGATTTCGCTTTCTCAACTCCGTCTATGGCTTTCTCAGCTCGGGCTATTGCTTTCTGGTCTCTTGTTATCGCTTTCTCACCTCGGGCTATCACTTTCTCTTCTCATGATATGGCTTTATCATCTTGGACTATCGCTTCCTAATCAAGTGATATCACTTTCTCGTCTTTGGCTATCACTTTCTCGTCTACTGATATCGCTTTCTCAACTCAGGCTATCGTTTTCTTGTCACATGATATCGCTTTCTCATCTTGGGCTATCGCTTTCTTGTCTCTTGATATGCTTTCTTATCTGGGACAATTGCTTTCTCGGCTCTTAATATCGCTTTCTCACATCGGATTAATGTTTTCTCGCCTCATGATATTACTTTCTCATCTCGGGCTATCGTTTCACATCTAATGATATCACTTTCACATCTCGAGCTATCACTTTCTTGTCTATTGATATCGCTTTCTCATCTCAGGCTATTGCTATCTCATTTATAGATATAGCTTTCTCGTCTCATGATATTGCTTTCTCACCTCCGGCTAATCCTTTCTCATCTCTGGCTATCGTTTTTACGTCTCATGATATTGCTTTCTCGTCTCAGGCTATCGCTTTATCGTCTATTGTCATCGCTTTCTCATCTTGGGCTATCACTTTCTCATCTTATGCTATCACTTCCTCATCTCGGGATACCACTTTCTCGCCTCTTGATATCACTTTCTTATCTCGGGCTACAGCTTTCTTATCTTTTGATATCGCTTTCTCATCTCTGGCTATCACTTTCTCGTCTTGTGATATAACTTTCTCATCTCAGGCTTTCGCTTTCTTGTCTCGTGATATTGCTTTCTCATCTCAGGCTATTGCTTTCTCATCTCACGATATCACTTTCTCATCTCATGATTAAATTGCTTTCTCATCTTTGGTTATCGCCTTCTCCTCTCGTGATATGGCTTTCTCGCCTAGGGTTATCACTTTCTCGTCTATTGATATCGCTTCCTCATCTTGGGATATCGCTTTCTTGTCTCATGATATCTCTTTCTCATCTCCGGCTATCACTTTCTCATCTACAAATATCGCTTTCTCGTCTTCTTATATCGTTTTCTCTTCTACAGCTATCGCTTTCTCAACTCTGGCTATCATTTTCTTGTCTAGTGATTTCGCTTTCTCAACTCCGTCTATGGCTTTCTCAGCTCGGGCTATTGCTTTCTGGTCTCTTGTTATCGCTTTCTCACCTCGTGCTATCACTTTCTCTTCTCATGACATGGCTTTCTCATTTTGGGCTATCGCTTCCTAATCAAGTGATATCACTTTCTCGTCTTTGGCTATCACTTTCTCGTCTACTGATATCGCTTTCTCAAATCAGGCTATCGTTTTCTTGTCACGTGATATCGCTTTCTCATCTTGGGCCATTGCTTTCTTGTCTCTTGATATGCTTCTTATCTGGGACAATTGCTTTCTCGGCTCTTAATATCGCTTTCTCACATCGGCTAATGTTTTCTCGCCTCATGATTTTTCTTTCTCATCTCATGATATCGCTTTCTCGTCTTGGGCTATCACTTTCTTGTCTATTGGTATCGCTTTCTCATCTTGGGCTATAGCTTTCTCGTCTCGCGATATCACTTTCTCATCTCCGGCTATCTCTTTCTCATCTTGTGATATCGCTTTCTCATCGCAGGCTATCGCTTTCTCGTCTCACGATATCACTTTCTCATCTCCAGCTATCTCTTTCTCATCTCCCTCTATCGCTTTCTCATCTCGATTTAAATGTAGTCAGTGATTCATAAAAATGTGTTTTTGGTATTATATGGTATTAAAATATGAAACATTTATACATATAGTATTATCCCTTTCACGCTCTTATGTTCTATGCTAGTGCAGCGATTAAGTTAGTGCGATGTTTACATATACGCGATCGATTCTTTACTAACTTAAAGTTACATTCGTCCATCGGTTATTAAGTACTGTATTCGATATTATTGATACACAAACAATTATAATAATAATAAGGAAAGTGTTACCTGTAACATGAAACGTCAACATCAGAAAGGTGTTGATTGCTGTCCGCCAATGACTGGACATTTAAATTGCCGTGACGTCACCCGTAGAAGCCCGTGAATGAGGCGTTAAGCCAGGTACGGGTAGCACGCACAACTCATTATATGTAGACAGTGGAGGAGCAGCCTTGAGATTGATAAAAGTAGAAATAGGCTGTCGGCGACATATATACCTGTGTTTTTAGTTGGTTAAATTCATGGTCATTGTATCTGTTTTATTAGTTCGAAAACATCATTGCCTTTAACAAGATGTGGCAATTTATGCATAAATCACTGAAAAGATAGATCACTAAATTTTAACTATTTACATATAAATTCTGAAAGTTTACAAATATATTTATTATTATGATCACATTTCACAAACATTAGATGCAGTATGTAACAAATGAATGTTCAGTAAAATATTACAATTAAAAGCAGATATCTACTTCAACACAGTAAGTAGCAGCCACTGTCATTGTCTATGCAGTCTACATATACATAGAGAGGCATTTTGCACAAGGGAATCCCAAGACTATCACATGAAGGTCGCATTTTGCCCAAAAGTAGCCTTCGACATGCAGATAGTTGCCAGGTATTTGCAAAAGGCATGTACAAAGCCATCACATACCTAGAGCATGTACCTGATGCAACAACAAAGTGTGATTTATGTGATTTATAAGTGTCAATATCCTTCTTTGTCTCAGGTGAAATTGGCACCAATGAAGAAATCCTGCAGTGAGTGGATTTTCATTTTATAATATGATAAGTTAATGATGGTGGAAATAGTTTATTTGTGAACAAACAATGTTCCTGTCAATTCTAAGTCACATGCATATTTTGGTTTTTTATTATTAAAATGTATTTAGAAATAATAGTCACTTAGTTGTAAGTTAGCACGCACCACTCGACATTTGCCTGATGCGTTTATTCCAGGAAGTCTGAACCAACTGGGAAGCGCAGCTCTGACACAGATAAAGGGAGGTAACCCTGTGTTGTATATCTGGCGGGTTAGTTGTAGGACACAAAGAATGTAGGTCAAGCAGAGCGGAGGCGAGGTAACGCCTGTCTTGTCGTAGTTGTCAGTTGGATGTAGGACATGAAGTGTGCACTCAAACACAGTGTAGGGGGAGGCAACTCCTCCTGTATTGCATGCATTCTCATGTACAGACCCGTCAGTTGTAAGTACACAGGGAACAGTCGGTTGTGAGTACACAGGGGACAGTCAGTTGTCAGGACACTGTTTCCTGTGTACTGACAACCGACTGTGTCCTGTGTACTGACAACCGACTGTGTCCTGTGTACTGACAACCGACTGTGTCCTGTGTACTGACAACCGACTGTTTCCTGTACACAAGTAGAACAATCTGTTGTCAGTACACAGGGAAGAATCAGTTGCCAGTACACAGGGAACAATCAGTTGTCAGGACACAGGGAACAGTCGGTTGTCAGGACACAGGGAACAGCCGGTTGTCTTTACACAGGAAACACTCGGTTGTCAAGTACACAGGACACAGTCGGTTGTCAGTAGACAGGACCGTTCCCTGTGTACTGACAACCGACTGTTTCCCTGTGTACTGACAACTGACTGTTTCCTGTGTACTGAGCGTGATGATTGATGTGTCCATTAATTCGCCCCTTTGGACGAACATGGGTTGTTGGAATTAGTATACAGTTATTTGAGAAGTTTCAATTGTGTTCAACATCAATCAAGACAAGTCAGTGGTGGCCGAGAGGAAACATTGCTTTCTCCCCTTCAATTTCGGCCGTGATAAAGCGATAACACGATATCACTTTCTCATCTCTTGCTGTCGCTTTCTCATCTGGGGCTATTGCTTTGTCGTCTCGTGATATTGCTTTCTCATCTCCGGCTATCGCTTTCTCGTCTCATGATATCGCTTTCTCGTCTCGGGCTATCATTTTCTCATCTATTGGTAGCCCTTTCTCATCTCGGGCTATCACTTTCTCGTCTCATGATATCGCTGTCCCATCTCCGTCTATCACTTTCTCATTTCTGTCTATCACTTTCTCGTCTAGTGATATCGCTTTCTCATCTCGGACTATCACTTTCTCATCTTGTGATATCGATTACTCATCTCATGATAGTGCTCTCTCATCTGAGGCTATCGATTTCTTATCTTGTGATATCGCTTTCAATAGAAATTTCTATTGAAAGCGCTTTCACATCTCGGGCTATCACTTTCTCATCTCATGATATCGCTTTCTCATCTCCGACTATTGCTTTCCCATCTCCGGCTTTCAATTTTCGGCCTAGTGATATCGCTTTCTCATCTCGGACTATCGCTTTCTCGTCTCATGATATCGCTTTCTCAACTCTGGTAATCGCTTTCTCATCTAGGGCTATCGCTTTCTTCACTCATGATATCTCTTTCATCTCCAGGTATTTCTTTCTCATCCCCCGCTATCCCTTTCTTGTCTCGTGATATATCGCTTTATCGTCTCTGGCTATCGCTTTCTCATCTTATGATAGCGCTTTCACATCTCCGGCTATCGCTTTCTTATCTCAGGCTATTGCTTTCTCATCTCATGATATTGCTTTCTCATCTCATGATATCACTTTCACACCTCAGGCTATCGTTTCTGGTCTCTTAATGGGACACTTCCGGTGAAAACTACGACTTTTGCCGATGTTGGAAACATCGGCAATGTTCGGGTGATGTAATACCGAGTAAGAGTTATGCCCCTTATTGTAAACAATCATGGCTACTGACAGAGATAGCTGTGGTCGATTCAAAAAGAAAAAGACCGGTAATCACACCAAAATATTAAAATCGAACGTGCTCATCGACCACAACTACCCAGCTTGTCATGGTTGCTACGGTGATCCTTGCAAGGACGACGACTGTCCACTTTTTCGAAACATCAAACTCGGCAAATACGCAAGCAGAGATGGATGGAAAGAAGGGCGGAGGATCGTCGAGCTCGGGAAATTTCTCTCAAATCTCGTCGCTTGCAAGTACTGCAAATTGGGCCCTATTCCATTAACGTATGCGAATATTGTCGGTGAGATGAGGAAAGGACTTAGCGGCTATTTGTACGTGAAATGTCAGAACGCAGAATGTGGGCAAATAAACATGGTTCCATACGAGAAGACGCACAGGGAGAAGAAGGGGAAGTCAGGGATGCCATGTTTTGTTATCAACACAAAGCTTGGAACAGGTAAATTTTATTTTTGTTTTACATTTAATGACCAATTAAATGCTATCATAAAGTTTTGGCATTCCGAGGATGTATAGCACAAATATCGTCCTGTTTTCGATCAGATATTTCAGCGTCATGCCTTTCTTATTGTTCATGTCACGATGATATCATATGTTTTATTAATGTCGTTTGTTTGCATTGTTGTCTTGTTTTATCAACGAAAGGTAAGTAAGTATAGTAAGCTTTTTTCCAGTATGCTTCAACATGGGAAAAGGGTCAGACATTGCACGCTTGTGACAGTTGTCCTTGTGTCTTGGGGTGGGGGGATGAAATTTAAGGCAGTATTGCCCCCAGACCTGACGGGTAGCCGGGTGCGCGGAAGCTATGCCCGATTTATAAAAAGCATTGATTTAACTTTGAATTGTTACTGCCAACTATATGAACAGGCACACATCCCTCCCTCATTCCTAAAAAAAATATATATACATTCATATAATTAGATTGTGGCTAATATTTATTTACAGCTATGATCGATAGCGTTGGGGGACCAGACAGGATGAATAATCTCCTTTCAACATTAAATATCAAACCCATCAACCAGAGAAGTTTAAAGAGCATGGAACGGAGGGCTTGAGGCTATGTTGAAGCTGTTGCCAAAAAGTCGACTCAACAGGCTGCAAATGATTCATTTAGAATGGAGATGGAGTAAGTTCTATACAATGTCATAGCAATGTTTGTTTATGAAACTAGTCATTTGCGTTCAAACCAATTGTTAATAACACAAGGATACAATAAACATGGTGGATACTCTGAATCAAATGAATTCATTGTTTAATGACGACTGCCTGTGTAGATATAAACAAAGAATATTATCTCATATTGGCGTCGGATATTTAAAAAAAACACAATTTGAATTTGGAATTCCTCTTTCACTTTGTTGCTCTTGGTCTGCCTTTAACCCATCAGGTTTATTTCTTTGGTACAGAGACATTGCAGAAGAGGAGAGTCGACAAGCTGCGAAGATCATGGGGGAGATGATAGATGATTTAGGAGTTTGTCCTCTACCAGACGCACCTCCTGAAATTAGGTTTATTCTTTTCTATATATTTTTAGTATGTACATGTATAGCTTGTGTTGAATAGTGGGAGATATGTTCAGATGGAAATAAGATTATTTTGAAAATATTCCATTGTACAATGTATATGCAACTACTGTATATCATTTAGAAACAACAAGACACTTTTCCATAGGTTCAGTATTTCTGTTGGACATGGAAGATCAATCCATCAGATGGGACTGTATAATAAGTGGTTCCATGAGTGAAATTGTTTTAGCACATAAAAGAACCAATATTAATTCGGGTTGGTTCATTGCATTGGTAAAATGTGTTAGCAGCTAAAAAGTTATACAGTTAACTTCCTCCGTCACAGAAGTTAAACAATAACTGATCTCAAACAAACATTTTGACAATACATGAAAACAATTTATAATTCATTTTTAATTTTTCAGATTATTGATGTCATCCTATTCCTCTACTGTACCAGTAGTTGATGCTAGTTCTGATGGTGAAAGTGGACATTCTGACCAGACTCCTCAAGCATCGAATATTGAAAGTCCACCAGTCTCATCTTCAAACAGGTGAGAATTTTGAAAACATTTCAGCACAAACAAAAGTTGTATTTGATCATGTAGCCAAGTGCATGATTGAGAATTTAACCAACTAGGCACGCAATCAAAATGTTGCCAGTTCGAATACTAGCAAACCCACTTGATGATGCTTGTTGTGTCCTTAGACAAGTCTCTTTATCTGCATTGTCTCAGCCCAGCCAGCTGTATATAGCCATCGACTTTGACTGCAGGTTAACCTGCGATGGTGCACTGGTGTAACATCCAGGCGGGGGGGACCTTATCCTAAGAGCACCAAGGAAACCGGGTATAATCACAGGCTTTATTAGGGGCGGTCGGGTAGCCTAGTGGTTAAAGCGTTCGCTAGTCACGCCAAAGACCCTGGTTCGATTCCCGACATGGGTACAATGTGTGAAGCCCATTTCTGGTGTCCCCCGCCGTGATATTGCTTGAATATTGCTAAAAACAGCGTAAAGCCATATTCACTCACTCACAGACCTTATTAGCTTAAGCTATGAAAGGATTTAACTTTTAAAATGTACATGCTGTATTTGATTCATATTTTTGTATTTGGTATGCCAGACATGAACATTTATTGATGTGTATCAAAGTTTTCTTTTTATGTGTTTCAGTGTAAACACTCCGTCAAATCCAGCCAGCCTTGTTGCCAAAATTAAACAAATTCCTCAGGCCCCACACAAACAATCCGGCAAGAAGAAGATCTTAACATCTAAGAAGCGTGTGAGACTTGCATCAAGATTTCCATGCAGGACCAGAAGTGGAATGTCTTGTGCAGTTAATACAGCCTGGCATAAAAGGGGATTTGACAGTCTTACATGAAAGTACATAAAGAAATTTGAGGCATTATTTTGTTATCATTACTTTACGCAACACAAAGTTTTACGTTTTATTACAGTACTTATTTCATTTCACAGGTATTGGGCATACCACTAATGTAGATGTTGAGCAGTTACCTGAAGCAGTACCCCGTGGGAAATTCGCGACTGTATCAGCTGGCAAAGAAGCTACGGTTATTACATTTGACTTGGAGACAACAGACCTAAGTAAGTTTGAATTAATTATTCATCTTTGAATGAACTTTTTGAATGATTACACATTTTTTATTTGTTGTGCCAATAGGTCTGTGATTAGTAAAGCATCACCTAAATAAGCATCAAGTGATACATGTACTTATATATCATATTGTATGTACTTGGATTTTAAAGCTTGAACTTTTTTTCAGTACGTGGAGGAAAAATGCCACATATCACACAGATTGCAGCTTCAGATATGGAAACAGGAAATGGATTCTCAACCTATGTACTTCCAAAAGTACCAATCTCAACTACAGCTCAACAGGTTACTGGTATCATAGTTAATAATACTGGTACAATGGCGGTCAATTGGAAACAAGTTCAGCCTGAAACTGTTCAGTTTGCAGTTGATGAGTTTTGTAAATGGCTCAGTGGATTTCCCAATGTATTCATTGTAGCGCATAATGGAAGAAGATTTGATTTTCATGTATTTTCATCTGCATTACATCCAGTGTAAAGCACAATTTCTCAACTGTGTATCAGGTCTTATTGATAGCCTACCTGTCTTCAAGAAGGCCTTTCCTGGACAATCGTCATACCAGCAAGAAGAATTAGCCAAGACCTTTTTGCACTCATCATATGAAGCACACAATGCCATAGAAGATGTAAAGGTCCTTGGTAAGCTTGTATCTCACACAAAGATGAAAATTCAGGGACTTGCTAGGTTCAGTTTCCCACCATCAGCAGTCCAAAATCTACTTCTCTTCAACAAAGAAAAGGCCAAACACATCAAAACACTCTATCCTCTGTTAGCCCAAGGTGTCATGAAAATGTCAATTGCCGAGAAAATTGCCGGATCAGGACTGAATCTTGGTCACCTGCGCAAAAAATTTCAGCGTGATGGAGAAGATGGTCTTTGCAATACTTTTACATGTAAAAACTCTGAGGGACAGCCACGTGTGACAGATATAAAGAAAACCCTTGACCGATGTCATTCCGAAATTAGTCCTCTTTCTCAACAAGGACTAGACCAAGCTTACAATCTGGTTGTGTGTAAGGGATGTTTTGGTGACATGCATTTGATACATGTATTGTTCTCATTATAGTATACATATTCATTTTTATCCCCTCTGCATATAATGCGGTTGGATATTGTCATCATCTGATCTGTCTGTCCATCCATATTTTCAGAGCATTACTTGAAGACTGTGAGATATGTTCTATCCGAATTTGGTTCAAGTATTAACAAAGGGATAAAGTGCTGCCTTTTGCTATTTAGGAATTATTTTTTTCTTAAAATTTTGTTCCCGTTTTCACAGGAACAAGTTAGACTGAACAGAAGCGGGGGGGGGGGGGGGGGTTCTGGAGCTGAATTCAAACACTGTTTTTCTGTTTCAATGGCAACAAGCTTTTCTTTGACTCTGTATATGGTGGTTTGTTTGTGCAGACCATATTTCTGAAACTAATAGGTACTCTTGCTTAAAACTGTGCACATATAAAGACCAGGTTGTCAACAGGTGCCTTTTTCTAATAGGGCTTTTTATTTTATTTTTATATTTTCTGTTTCCATGGCAACAAGTTTGATTTTGACTCATAGTGGTGTGAACATGACTCAGAATAGTCCATGAGCCAGACCGAATATGAGTATCAAAAAGCTGAACAGATCCAATGTGGATTTTCAGTTAGCATGATGTCTTAAGTGTTCAAAAAGCCCACCCGGACATTCAGGATCGGTAGCTTAATACCAATTTGGTGGCCATCTTTAAAATGGCCGCCACGCCCATTCAGAAATATACTAACCACCGGAAAAACTGAAATAACTCGCCACCAAGATGACCTATGAACATGCAATATGGCTTATTTTGTTCGTAACGAAATTCTGCACCAGACAGTATATAATAACTTGACTTTTGATTTTATAATCTGTTCCAAAATTCGGAGTTTTGGGTATGCGTTGATGCTTTTTTTCACAAAGTTCTTTCAAATGTCAAGCCTGCTATACACACCAGCAAATGTATGTCCTAGATCACCTTGGGCAGCTCTCCAGGTGTGGATAAAATGTTTGGGGCAGTTATTTGACCCTTAAGTATAAGTGCAGACAATAAAATTTTGGTAATAATTTATTGCATTTGGCGCTTTCTGGAGTGGGTTATCACCACGAATCAGAGGAAATCAGTTAAACCATACCCAAAAAAGCCTTTATGCACAAATTGGCCTCTCTATCGAAAATGGGCTCTGCTGCTACTTGGGTAGGGTTTTGTGAATTGGAATTATAGTCTGTTTCTAATAATCAATCGACTGAAAGAAAAATGCTATTCCAGGTGACTTGTGGTTCAAAACATAAGTCCGCATTAGTCTTCATCACTATCTATGTCACTATCGTCACTCTCTTGGACTGGGTCGGTGTCATCTTCCGCTGTCATGTTGGCACAGTTCTGCAGTTTGCATGCTGGGGTGCAGGGTAATCCATTCTGGATACAGGTGCAACTGTCTTCAGCACAAACACGTGGACACTTGCAAGCCATCAGGGAGAGAACCATCTCAGGAGCCGGTGCTCCAGTTAACCACGATATTGCAATGTCTCCGTCACTCAGATGCCAGCCATGCCCTTCGGTTGGTTCAGGGAGGTCTACTGTGTTCTGAAGGCTGCGCCGCCATATAGCTGCCTGATAGTTAGCACGTTTAGTATGCTGTAGCAAGGCATCCTTACAAGGTGGAAGCTGCCCAGATGACAAATCACCCTTTTTGGCACAGAACATATCGTACCTCAGTTCATTCACCCCTTTGGCCTTTGTATTGCGACAGTACATGCTACAGGTGAACTCTTGTATGCCATCAAATAGATCATCTGAAACGGACCACTGCTGTCCAAGAAGCACAAACGTATCCCTGAACTGTTCATTCTTCCTGATCAAGTTAACGGCTTTTACCTTTCCCTTGCCCGCGAATGAGCTTACAGAATCACAGCCAGTCCAGGCATGGACACCTATTAGTGCCTCACAGACCTTCTTGCCTAGTGTGGTACCCAATTTGGAATTGTCAATCAGTCTAATCTGATTTTTCTTTCCTCTTCTCAATAGTATCCGTGTGCCAATTTCTGAATGCATCCCAAGGAGGATAACAAAAACATCCGTATCCTCTGAAATCACAATCACTGTAGGATAGTTTGCTGCGGCATGCTTGGCATGGACAACAAGTCGTGTATCGGCTTCTTCATGTCCAGTTGTAGCCAATTCTTCCACCTCTGTCACTTTATCCTGTGTAATCTGAAAGCATAGTCCTTCGGATGTTACCATTAACGTAGTGTTACCAAGAAGCTCTCTTTTCTTTTCGTCTTTCCAGCTATCCGCCAGAAACTTTGTCAGCTTAGTCTTGCTCTCGGTGCTGGCTAACAGACGTTTATAGTTCTTGATACGATGGCCAGGCTTGATTTGACTGAAGACAATCCCTTGAGTAGACCCGCGATTGATCCTTTCTGCAGTCTTTATCGACTGGTCCCTGTACATATCAAATACTACATCGATTCTCTCACTTCCTCGTCCGTCAGTAAGGATCTGTTTCAGTATTCGATCAGACAGTTCGTCAAATGTCAGTTGCTCCCCATGGACCTTTTGAACAATGCCCATGGCATCAACGATGGTTGCCCTTCGCCCGGTGGCCATGTCAGTGATTGCCATGTCCTTCTCAATATGCTTGCCTAATGATGATTTTCCTGTTTTCTTCAGTGTCCCATCACCATTGGCTAGTGCCCATGGCTTTTGACCAAGGGGATAACACATAACCTCTCGCATGTCCAGCTTTCTGTTCTGGGCAATAAGAAGCATGTGACCAAATGCCCGATTGTCTGCTTTCAGAACAATTTCTTTGTTTGTTCCTTTTACCACAGTGTCCTTTTTCATGTCGGCGAATGTCTTCAATTTCAACTTCTTTATGGGATCATAGAATCCCGACCCTTTTTCCAGCCGTTCCGCCTGCAGCTTGTATGCCTCCTCTCCCCTTTCTCGAGCTTTAATAATGTCACTGCATACATCAGGTGGTGCTGCTGCACCTGTGGAAATGCAGACTAGATCAATGGGCTCATTCCCAAAGGGGTTTATCCAACTGCTTTCAAGCAGTTCGACTATAGACTCCACATCAGCTTCGTCTCTGGTGATCCGCGAATTCTGCAAGTCAGCATGACCAAGCCCTGGACTCTGCAACGAGATGAGGTCTCTTAGCTGTCTCAGAGCATTTGCCCTATGCTCTGCCGTGAGATAGTAGCGAGACAGTGCACCCTGATTTAAGCTAAAGCCCTTTGTCCCACCGGGCGTCTGGGTGTCCTTATTAACCGTCTCTTCATGGGTCTGGTCTACTGCAATTCTGCCAAATGGATTACTCTGTCGGAGCTGCACCGAGAATCCACCATCAAGAAAGTGCCGTTGTAGATCTGGGCAGGTTCTATCCAGTTCACTCATCTGCGCATAGTAAACCGGGAGATATCGTGCATAGTTCGTTTTGTCCATTGCGAAACACCAGGGTATCAAATCCCTGATGCTACTCAGATGCAAATGCCAGTCTCCGGTTCGGTCTGCACGAATCAAACCAAGTAGTATTTCTACCAGATCAATGTACAGCATCCAGTAGGCAGCCAACTGACCGTTCTCATGACGTAGACCATCCAAGAAAACTGCAAACAAGTCGAGGATCCTCTGACAGGATTCGTTATTCAAGGTAGATTCGAATGTTGTGAATACCCATATGTTTTGAAAAACTCCAAATTTTGGAACAAATTATAAATTCAAAAATAAAGTTGTTATATACTGTCTGGTGCAGAATTTTGTTGCGAACAAAATAAGCCATATTGCATGTTCATAGGTCATCTTGGTGGTGAGTTATTTGAGTTTTTCTGATGTTAGTATTCTTCTGAAAGGGCGTGGCGGCCATTTTAAAGATGGCCGCCAAAAGTGTATTAAGCTACCGATCCTGAATGTCCGGGTGGGCTTTTTGGACACTTAAGACATCATGCTAACTGAAAATCCACATCGGATCTG